TCAGAGGCATGAGGCTCAGGGTGACGCTCTGAGAGAAGGTGCTGAGGACATTGGCGACACTGTTCACAAAGGTCGTGCCAACGATGACCGCATCCGGGATGAAGGCGTAGGTGCCATGACCTTCTTCCGCCAGCTCAAGCAAGAGCTCGCTGTCCAGATTGTACCCAAAGCCGAAGGTGTTCAGTTGGAAATGGAAGCCTGGATGTGTGTCCTTGTAATCGGCCAACTCTCGCAAATGTCCTCGTGGTGGCTTGATGTTGGGCTGACCATCGGTCAGGAGGAGGATGGCCTGATGTCGCTTTGAGCTGGCGGCCCCCTCGCGAAGAGCATCCATGGCAGCCTTCATGCCTCCCCAGATGTTCGTTTGGCCCCCCGGTCGCAAGCCATCAAGGGCCTCCAATGCCAGCTCCTGGCCACGATCGCACATGTCCGTGAGGGCCAACGCCGTTCGCTGCTTGTCGTCAAACGCCACTAGAGCCAGGCGATCTTGGGGGCCGAGCGCCTTGATCACCGTCTTCACCGCATGCTTCACGATGTCAAGCACCGACAAACCATCATCCTTCACGTTGCCATCTGCATCTTCGTATGTTGCCGTGCTCCCCATGGAACCAGAGACGTCCACCAGGCAGCAGACCTTAATAAGGGGGTGGTTACACCCTCAGCAGCGGCTTATGACATCCCTTCTGGACGTGCACTTCGGGAGGTCCTAGTAACCCCTGGGCCAGGGGTTGCTCCATGTTACAGTGTGCACCCTCACTGAGGTAGGCGAGAGCGACGTGCCCGAAAAAACTTTCAACCCAACATTCGGAACCACCATTCATCTGCGCGTGCTACAGTTGCTACAGCATGCGAGTACTGGATATCTGCACAAGGCAGCGACATCTGCCGGCTCCCGCTTCATGAGGTCGGCTACATCAGCACTGATCATGACCTTCACCTCACCCGCACAGGTTTGGTCTTTGCACGGCTCGATCTTCAGTTTCACCAGGTCCTGGTCACCAGTCGGCTCATCTTCGGACCAATCGTCGTCCTCTACGGCTCCGTTCACAGCTCCGTCGAGCTTCTCTAGAAGGTCGGGATGCATGGTCTGGGCCACTGGCTCCAAGCTTCTCTTCACATCCGACACTGACGGCACCTCTCTGCCGCAACGAAAGACCTGCTGGATCTCCCGCACCGGACCACGACAGATGGGACAGCAGCCGGAATGCTGCTGAACAGCCACGAGGCACTCCCTGCAGCCACACTGGTGCCCACACGGGCTCACAAGGAAGTCTGCCGGCTCATCGAAGCAGATCGAGCAGGAATGCTGGGAATGCTGGGAATGCTGCACTTCGGCCATCTTTTGCCCCGTCTCGAGATGGTCCAGGGCACGACAGATCTTCTGGAAGATGACCTGGGGCTCGAGCGTGGCGTCCAGCTTCCAGACCTCGGCTAAGGTGTCAAGGCAGAATGCAATGCAAGAAAACGCGGCAGCAAAACAAACCAGGGCATGGCTGAGCTTGAAACGCGGCCAGAGAAGAAGGGCAGCACCCGCCGGACGTGCGCCTTGAAGACCTCTGCGGCGGCCGTTTCTTCATGTTTATCTTGTTTTGAGGGGGTCCGGGCCCTTCTCTCCTAGCCCAGAGAAACACTTGAAAACTCATTGCAGCCCTGCTGTTATCACTGCTGTTGTCACTGCTGCACTGCGGTCCTCGATGCGTTGCCGGAAGGAGTGCTCATCATCGCGGTCGCGTGGGACCAGATGGGGTAGGATGTCCAAAGGCGGCTGGACAAACTCCAAGTGATAGATCTCCCCCGTGCGTGGATCGATTCGCCGTTGCGCGGCCCTCTGAATAAGGCTCTTCTCAGGCACCTGTAGAAAAAACACGCCCTCGACTCTAACCTGCTTGAGCAGCGCCTGCGCCTGATCCGTAGTGCGGGGGAAGCCATCCAGCAGGCAGCCACTTTCCCGCACATCCGACTGTTGCAGGCGATCTTGCACTAGGCTGACCACCATGTCGTCAGGCACGAAGCAGCCCTTGTCAAGGTAGTCCTTGGCCCGAAGGCCCAGCTCGGTGCGCCGCTCTACCAAGTCTCGGAACACATCCCCCGTAGAGAGGTGCACAAGGCCATACCTTGCGGCCAGGAGCTTACACTGCGTGCCCTTGCCTGATGCCGGAGGGCCCATGACCAAGAAGCAGCGCCCTGGGAAGCCTTGCGGCGCCCCTGGCGGACTCTGCGCAGCTGTCGCATACGGAGCATTCTGCGCGGTGACGGCTGTGGCCATCAATTCACACCGAGCCGGGGCTGAATGAAGCACGGATTGGGCCAAACTCGGCAGAACTCGGCTGAACTCGGCTGCTCAAAAGCTCTGAAAACAGTTGAAACGAGAGGGTGATGTGGGGTTTTGATGGGGAACGTTGATGGGAATTGACTCGGAGTTGCACTCAAGATGGGCATAAACCGGCCGAGCGCACCTTGTGCATGATAATGTAAGAATAGAATTAATTCGCCTTTCTTGCCGTGGCCTGTCTCCTGAGTCTCCTTCCCTTCCCAACCCTACCTCCTCCCTCCGCTTGGCAGAGCCGCAATGCGATCTCCTCCCGCAGAAACCACGCCAAACAGGAAAAGGCTTGCAAACCGAAACCTCTCCTGGAACGTTTGTCCGCTTTCCTTCGTGTGTGGCGCGCGCGTTGGGCCAGCACGGCTGCCGAGGCGGCGCGCGCGAGCGCTCCCAGTACAACAACGTAACAATATAAGAATCAAACTAGCCATACAGAAATGTGATTAGTATATTCTTATATCTGAGTAGATGCAGCACTTGATTCAAGCAATTCGTTCAAATCCTTCGAGGCAACACGTTGGTAAGCCAATCGAAAATCTTCTCTCTATTGAAAACGCCGCATGTTGCAGCTCGGGCATTTCGACCTGAGCAAAACCTTGCAGACTGCATGAACCGGAAGATTGGATCACAACTTGGTACTACTGTACGCGCGGAGAAAGTATGTATTGTGTAAAAATATATGGACCGTGAATCCTGTTGGGGTTCATTTAGTTCGCAAGGTGCTCTGTACTTAGAACTCCCTCGCAGAGCTTGCTCGAGAGGAGCAATGATCGAAACGAAATCATGCGTATCAGAAGGATGACAATAGAACATCCTTCGCTCAGGAGCACTTCGTGACAGGACGTGTGACGCAATAGAGCAAATCATGACGAGTTTCCCTGACTGGTGATCCCAGTACTGCAAGCATGGGGCCCTAAACCCTAAACCCTAAACCCCCGTATCTTTCAGTGGTGGCTCGACCTCGGCAGACTCCCGGGACTGGGTAAAGAATAGCTGGGAGGTGAGAGTGCCCGGAAAGGAGAAGGTCCAAAATGCGTTGCGCTGTATCTAAAATCTTCGCGTTGCTTTGGACAAGCTTTCTGACACAACCCTAAACCTTAAACCCTAAACTCTAGACTTCCTGACACTTCCTCTCCCTAGCCCAGAGGCCCAGCGCTGGAACAGCAATGGTCAGGCGTCGCAAAAAATGTCTTGCAAGAAATGTCTGAAAGGGGGTTTCCGAAAATAAGGGTACTTTGTTGGGGTCCATATTATCAAGGAACCCTACTATTTGGGGCCCACACTACGAGCCCCCTATTTTCGTAAACCCCCATATCCAGAAAAAAATTGTATACCGGATGGAGAGATTGTGAATCACAGCGGCGTTGCCATCGGCCACGATGGTATTGTGAAGCTCGGCAGCGTTTCAACATGCTAAATGTAAAACCCTCACAACGCAACAGTTCTTACCATAGTGCGAACCCGGGCAGCCTACCCCCTATATTACGTGAAAACTAGAAGACGGGTGGCCCGAAAGCATCATTTGCCAAGAGTTTTGCGCTATGTCAAGTCATAGTGTCAAGTATATAAAGTCATAGAGTCAGGTGCACAGTGATGTACTTCACTCTGTGTACTGTGGTAAATGCACTTGATTGGATGTACTTCACTCTATGTACTATGCCAATCCACGCAAAGGGTTGCGCGGGAATGTCAAAAATAGCAACTTTACCTCGCGTT